TATATATATATATATATATATATATATATATATATATATATATATATGTGTGTGTGTGTGTGTGTATATATATATACAAACTAGACAAGGAGAACATGTCTTACTCTGGAAGTGCTGCTAATAAGGTGTCTAAGAAGTGGCTCCTGGCAAATTGCTTTGTTATTCTTGTCAAAAAGGTCCCTTGCAAGAAGTCGATTTTAAACTACACATCAAAATGATTAATTGCCGTGGGATGAACAGATGCTGAAATACCCTTGAATGGTGCAGGGGAGGCTGAGGCTTGCTGGATTGCAGACCTAATGTATTCATGAAGTTGCAGAAACATCATTAAGAATATTAATTAGCTATTAGAGGGCAGAATTTAGCGTATTAAAGACTGTTTTGTTCTTTATCAAGTGAAAGGCTGTAACAAGAGGAACAGATTTACTTCAGATCTTAATCATACAAAATAAGTTTTTTTTCAAACTGCTTAAGACAGAGAGAGTTTAACTTGATCACAAATGTTAAAATCCTGATCATCATTGTCACAGAAAAGGAATGTGTTTTGTCACTCATGAGCTCTAAAATCTGCACGATGCATGCAAGGAAATCATTATGATTTTTAAAAAATATGTATTTCTGTTATTTAAGGGGTTTGTCCACTATACTCTGCAGTGCACGCTGTGTACATGGGTAATAGAAGCTACTTTTTTGGCGTTTAAGCCCATCAGATGCGCTGGACAGCTCTAGTCGCTCTATAAGGAGCTTTTGGAGAGGCGCTGAGAAGAAACTCTTTCTCGCTTTAATTGCTTTAGAGACGGTCCTCACAAAGAGACAGTGGCCAGATTTACCTCCCGTTTAAGTTCTTATTTCCATTGGTTCACAAGTTAATCCTCTTTCTTTCTCAGACCTCGGAGAAAACCCCGGTGATAGGAGCCTATACACACTGAGGCGACGGAACCAGAGAGGGACACGAGTTTTCCAAGTGAGGGGAGAAGGTTCACACCCGTGAAAGCTCACGCAAAAGTTTATGGAACTGACTGAAGTGATTTAAAAGAAAAGACGTAAAATGCACTTGCAACGTGGAATCTGTTGAGACCAATTAAAATTCATAATGATAATCAAACCAATCACAAATACAATAACAATAAAAAACATATTCATGAATGGAAAAAATTACCAAGACATTTTCTTAAAAAAAAAAAGATATATATAATTCCGTCAAACACATTTAAATCTCTTTCACATTTTTTGTCGTTATTTGAAACTGTTCGTTTCTTTTCTTATGGTTTAGTGCTTTCACCACAAACTGAACATTTACTGTCGCTGCTTTTTCAATCTATTCAGTTCGATTAATATCGTGTATGTAGCTTCAATTCACGGGACATCTCGAATGATTTCCCAAAGAAAGGCAAACGACGGACTTTTAATGTATTTATTTATCTTAAAGAAAATAAAATCGGCTCACACATACCTCCTCCTGCGTTAATTTGTCCGTTCTTTCAAACACAATCATGACGCAAAGTGAACCGCATGGAAACTTTGAGTTGTCCCCAAACTGTGCACCCACGATTGTCAGGAGGCATCAGAGTTAAACTGAATAATTTGTCCACTGTTTAGATTCGTTATAGGGTGGGAAACATAGATAAGACGACGTTATGGACCAAGCATCTTAAAAAGACTCCAAACAAAATATGCAATATTTACATTTAAAGGTTACTGCGCTGCCCTTAATTCCCCACCTAAACGGTTTTGCTCCGGGAGAAGAAATCTTCTCTAAAAACCCTTCAAGAAGAGAAGGGCATTATTGCCCTAATCCTCTTACCCGCAGTCATTTCAAGACAGGGGTTTTTGGAGGCTGAGATGGCGTCTTGTCTTCCCTATCCCATCCAAAATCCTTCCAGGCCGGGCGAGAGTCTAAAGGCAGCAACCCTTGCATCTATTGGCCATTTAAGGTCTCCCCCTCTGCGTCTTGTGGAATGGAAAGAAAAGCCCAAATGCAAACAAACTGTAAGTTGGTGGCTTTTCTTCCACAAAATAGAGGAAAGACTCAGATTCAAGTGCAGATGACTGAGCGGAGATGCTTACTTTTTGTACTTTAATTATTTTGAATATTCAAATTTCTACCATTTTACGTCACTATGATCGAACATAAAATTAACTGTTAACATTAAAGCTCTTAGCTACACGAACTATAAAGTGTGCATTATATATTCTAATTGGATTGTAAAAATGTAACCACATTAGAACCAAAGTCGGTTAAAAATGCAAAACATTTCAGAGGTATTTCATGTTGATGAATTCAGCTGGAAAAAACAAACAAAAAAAGCCCCAAAAAGTACAGACATGGGAGGATTAAAGAAAATGTGATGCGCTAAACTGTAGCACATTAGAAAATAACTCAAAGCTTCATTACCGTTGGACGATCAGCGGGTTTATTTACTTGAATGACAGCACTGTCAGCCAATAGCAACGCAGGATGGCCCCCGCGAAGCTCTCCTTAAAATCCCTCCGCAGGGTTCTTGAGCACCAGCAGATGGCGGCTCACCTCTCGTGCACCAGACACGGAGAAGTCACAGAAGAAAGCGCAAGCGGACTCGAAGAGAAGCAACAGACTGGATGAGTTTTACTCTGAACTGACCTGTCCACCTCTCTGACGGACAACGGCACGGTAAAGCGACCGTAAAGAAGCCATACCAGCTGCCGGGAGAGTTGAGGAGAAACCGGAACAAGTTGAGGGAGCCTGGACTCTATTCTCGGCGTCGGTGGTGACCGAAAATAAGACTCAACACAAGGTAAAAAGAAATAGAAAATGTCTCCTAATTATTTTTAAAAGATGTATTTGAATGTTGTATTTTTGCCTACAACTTGTGGAAACCATTTATGTCACTCTCAATTCAAAGCAAACAAAGTGCCGTCTCTACGACCATGTTTACCATGAAGTTAAAAAGTTGAAAAAGAGACACTTTAAGCTCTTTTTTTGTTACATAGTTCTTTATTGATATTTTAAAGATATCTCTTTGTTAGAAAAAGGCAAATATTTGATCATTTCAAATCTTTACAAAGTTTATAAATCAAGCTTCAACATTTCAATCTTCATACTTATGTCATATTTCATATTCCTAATATTAACACATTATAGGGGGGTCCAAACTGAACTCATATAAAATAGTTATATTTCTTAACCAGATCTGTTTTCCCTTAAATGCCCCAAGTTAACCAAAACATTACAGATGCATCCTGTGACATAGGCCTACTTTTGTAAAAATGTATACTCATCTTTTTTCAGCAGACCTATTTAGCCTGCTAAAATGCCAGTTTTGTTAACCGATGACTATTTTTCTATAATTGTTTATCCTTAATATTTAAGAAAATACGTCTGATTTTAAAAAGCGAAAATACAACGTTATCGTGCTAATGTCTTAGTTGATGGGCCTGAAAATTTATGACACAAATGTTTGTTTTTAAAAAAGAAGAACAACAACAAAAGAACACGCTCCACATTTAGCTCCCGAACCTTTTTAAATCCCGGTAAAATCACACATGTCACTCCCGGACAGTTTACGTGACAAAGCAAAGGCCAGATTGTCGGGTCGTCTTTTGCCCCGGAGGGCAGTTTTCAAATAACATTTTTCCTAATTTAGTCGGATCAGACAGTTTGCACTGTACATGCCAATTTGCATAATGATGGTTTTGATAATCGAACCATTGAGAAAGGGCAGCCAGGAGGGCTCAGTGCCTGAAGCACGGAGAAGCTTATGAATGACAACCATATAGTGCTAACAGGCTCAGTCATGAGCTGTTGTGTAGAATCAGATCCGGGTAGGTAGACCCAGACTAACAATAAGGGAAAAAAACATAAATAAAATTGAATAGAAATAATTCAAGATTAAGATCAATTAATGACGCCAAGCAGGAAGATTTTAACAGAAATACGTCGCATAGTTTAAACATTCACAGCCTTCGAACCGGTTTGATGTAGCCTAATTCCATTTAAATAAACGCCTTTAAAGTCAGAGTAGAGACACAGAAAAAGCTGTAGAGGGAATATTCTCTGGCCTTTTTTTAGTAGAACCCGCGCACACAGACGCGTGCACACGCAGCCAACCCGCCAGTCCCACTGTACGTCCGTCCGTGTCAGCGTTGATGATAAATGGAGGGCCTCGCAGTCGAAACCTATTTGCACTTCCATTAGACGGGGAGCCAAATGGGGATCAACATGCATATTTTTACCCGCGGAGAAGCCATACATCTCAGCCAAAACGTTGCCCCAGGGCGGCGGGATAAGAGGCCGCCAGAGAGGGGAAGGGGGAGGATGGCGGGGTGGAGAGGAGGGGTAGAGCCATTCAACTCAAATACTTAGGGGAGTAAAGTAAATGTTTAGCGAAGCACCTTCTGTCCCGGCGAATTAAACTATTCCCCATCGCCCTCTGATCACATTCATCAGCCGCCGCGGCCACTTAATAGGCTGGGAATGGGCACTGCGGGCATCTCTCGTGCACATACGCGCGCGCATGTGGCCTACAAGACACGCTCGTGGCCTATAAGTTGCAACTAAAATAGTATTATTAAAATAAGAAAGGGGGAAATATATCAACTATAACTATTACAGATTCATAAATGTGTTGAACAGTCCGCAGTATCCCGGATGATATGAAACCCAAATATGAGCCTACAGAATTATACCTAAAAAAAAAAGAAATAGTTAAACACATTATGATTTTTTATTATTGCTTTGCTACATTTCAATGTGGACTCAAAGAGGACATTGAGCAAATTATTTGAATTGAAATTAGATAACATTTTATCTTTTTTTTTTTTTAACATGAAAGCGATTAACATTGCAACCTCTGGGTGACATCATGCCTGTGTGATTGTCCCGTTAAGTTTTAGGCCTTACAAGGTTCCCAGGACACACGCTTGTCACAGTGCAGAAAGATTTATATGTCATCCCGTGGTCTCTTTGTAATAGTTATAATAACTGTTTGGACCTCCGAGATATCTCCTCCTGTCAGCCTCCTTGGCTACTAATACATATCTAATCATGACCTCCAGCGTTTCATCTATGGAAATCTCGGAAGAAGAGAAGCAGAGGAGAGTTTAGGCTATCGCGGTCGTTTAAACCGTCACTTTCTGCGTCGATCTGCACTTAATTGCGTCTGTTGATTTGTTTGGAATAACAGAAAATTGCCTAAAATCTCTGTTCGAATGTTTAAACAATTAGATGCGGGGATTCAAACACTGTTAGACTAAAACGGGATCAAACAAAGAGAACAAGAATACCAATCATGCAATCTGGATGCTGATTTTCCTACCAATATCCACAACAAATCAGCTTATATTTTTCAACATTTCATCAATGCCTCGATCTGTCAAAAGCAACGCCTTCAATGGGGATTTAGGCTTTTCGAGAGCACGGAAACGACATGAATACATTCATGAATAAGGCATCCGTCACGGTTCATTACGGCAACGAGTGATAATTACCATCAATTGAAAGTCCTTTGTATAATTAATGGATTGAACAGAGAGATAATTGGATGTTAATGGATAACACTCTGGTCTAAGTGCGCACATTAAAATCTGTTGGTCCCCAGAGCGCGTGGGCCTGCTGACATTTACAACTAAAACGGTCGTGAAATTTAAAGTCAGCAGCTGTTTGTAAAGCACCGCTCTCTCTCTTGCGTCAGTTTTGAAGGGTTTGCATCTTCCAAAAAAAAACAAAAAACATAAACTCACACCCCTTCTTCTTTGCGCCCAGCAGGCAGCGAACTCTCACCATGCAGCACTACGGGGTCAACGGCTATTCTCTGCATGCCATGAACTCCCTCAGCGCCATGTACAACCTGCACCAGCAGGCCGCTCAACAGGCGCAGCACGCGCCCGACTACCGGCCGTCCGTGCACGCGCTCACGCTGGCCGAGAGACTAGCAGGTAATGGCCGTATACCTGCTTTCATACCATGCTCATAGAGCGTTTAACAGTCAGCGTGGAATACATTTAAAATCAAAGTAGGCCTTTGATTATAGCAGCATATAGCAGCTTGGTGATTGTTAGTTGATTTGGCTTTAGTTGTTACATTGAATGGATTAAAAAAAAAAGCTAAAAAGATGTCCTTAAAGGTAAAAAAAAAAAACAAACTATACGTGTCAAGGTTTTGTCATTGAAACTGTAGTTGGCCTTGACAGAGACAGGTTTAAACCGGGCTTTCGACATGCCCAGTAAAATAAAACTTGTGTTTTGTTTTTTCAACGGCTGCGCATTTCAAGACATCATCTTGGAGGCTCGCTACGGCTCTCAGCACCGCAAGCAGCGGCGGAGCCGCACGGCTTTCACCGCCCAGCAGCTGGAAGCCCTCGAGAAGACTTTCCAGAAGACCCACTACCCGGATGTGGTGATGAGGGAGCGGCTCGCCATGTGCACCAATCTGCCCGAGGCCCGCGTGCAGGTAGGCTCATCTATAGAGGAAGCAATCGTTTATTCTGTTTAGTCATATTTCTGTTAACTAAAGAGACCACATGAGCAGAAATGAAAGTATTTCACTGAGCATAAAAGCTTTATATTAGTTGTTCTAGAAGTATTTTATGGTTATTTTTGTAAAATCAGTATGGGTAGTGGGTTGTGTAGGGGGTTGTATTAGAAAATCAAATGTTTGATGATCAAATATTCAGAAAATCAGATATTAATTTATGAGGTACCACAACCCCATCAACTGAAATCAGCCTAATTTTCTTTTAGCTCGCCCTCTAAATCTTTTTGGTTTCCCTCAGGTCTGGTTCAAAAACCGCAGAGCAAAGTTCCGTAAGAAGCAGCGCAGCCTCCAGAAGGAGCAGCTTCAGAAGCAGAAGGAGGTGTCGGGGGAAGGAGGCAGCGAGAAGGATGACGCGCCTCCCGCAACCACTATCCTCCCAGATTCTCAGCTCCCTCCTTCATCGTCCTCGTCCTCCTCCTCCTCCTTGGAGGCAGAAAGTGCAGTGATTCGTCCCATACCTCTGGACATGGAGTTGAACGTCACCTCGGCAGAGCATTCCGGCAGCGAGTCAGCAACCGAGGACAATGCCACAGATAAGGAGGAGGAGAGTAAACCTCAAAGAGAAGAGATGAAATGCGAGAGGGCAATGACACCTGGCGACATGTCCCCAGCTTGCAAGAGACTCAGCCCCAAACCAGGTAAGAGCAAAGGACATATGAATCTTAAGAAATCAACTTTACCTAGAAGATATTGATGATAATCTGTTTTTCTCTGTGCAGATTCCCCCCTGGCGTCCCCGTCCCTGACGCCATCCTCCTCCAGCAGCAGCACCCTGGCCAATGGTGGCCCTCTGCCCCAGAGCCACTCTTACTCCTCCTCTCCTCTCAGCCTGTTTCGTCTGCAGGAGCAGTTCCGCCAGCACATGGCCGCCACCAACAACCTGGTGCACTACCCGGCCTTTGACCTCGCCAGCCCCTCTTCCCTTCCCTACCTGGGAATGAATGTTAACATGCCCCCCGCGCCGCTAGGATCCCTGCCCTGCCAGTCCTACTACCAGTCCCTGTCCCATCACGCCCAGCAGGTGTGGAACAGCCCGCTGCTGCAGGCGTCCACTGCAGGCGGCCTCACCAGCCACAACAGCAAGACCACCAGCATTGAGAACCTGCGTCTGAGGGCCAAACAGCACGCAGCCTCTCTGGGACTGGACTCACTGTCTAACTAAGATTCTGATTGTATGGAGGCAAGTAAAAAACTAGGTCAGAGCCTCATCCATCACCTACACATAACCGCTGCATGTCTCTATGACTGTGATCATTCTTTGGGAGCAATTTACACACCTCTACTGAAGTGGAGGGGAAACAGATAAATCCAGCCAACATAATTTGGACCTACAGAACTCTTTTCAGCATATACAGACCAGTGAGCCATTTATTTCCTCATACACACACATACATGCATGACTGCGTTTACCAGAATATTGTCTATAATGGAGGCACTTTGGAAGGAGTCACAATTTACTCTTGCAGGAAAGAGACTTTTTCAATTAAACGATGTGGTTGCAAATACAGAATGTACTACCTAACAGCACACTGACGAAAAATAGACCCAAGTCATGTTGTCTTCTGCAACATAATTAAAAGTGACTAATTTACTAGTGAAGTAGGCAGTGATATGCTGCTTTCTACAAAGGCTGGCTGGATGATGAGAAAATGATTTCAGTGACTAAATTGTAAAAGCTCTTAATTACATTTGGCCCAGGGCTGAGAGAGCTGGGGCAAATGCAATTAAGATCATGCATACCATTTGAAAACAGCCTTTCTAAAAGACCCTCTCAGCAAAACAACCAATTTAGGTGGCCAGGTGAAAAATATCCCTTTGCCACGGCTTCAACAGTTTTCTATGAGAAGATGATGATAGATATTTCAGGACTTTTGGTCAGTTGTTGCTTACTCTCATCTCGTTCTCAGCATTCACATCCACCTTCATACTGTTTTTTTTTTTAAAGGAAATTCTGTTTTCTACTGTTTCACTGAAAGTGTCTCAGACTGTAAGCACTTGATGAAGAGAATCACACACACCTTTGATATTTTCCATTAAAACGTTCCGGAAGATCATGTTTTCAAATGAAAAACGCACATTATTTTAAAATATACTGTACAAAAAAGTCTATCTATTAATGTTCACTGTTAAGGTAACTGTAAAGTTTTGTTGTATAATTGATAATGGACTCAAGAAATTCCTTTAGTTGCCACATTGTATTTGCCGCACTCAGCGACAGCCCTGTCTACCCTTCTTTCTTGGTTGTCTGTGTGTCGCTCCTGGTTGAATTTAATTTAGAAAGTTTATACACCTTTACTTCTAGAATAAAAGAAGCAGCTAAAGACATTCGACTCTGGAAAACTAACGCTTTCCTTATTTCGTTATCAATACCTTCTGAAAAGTAAACAAAAGTGAATAAGATAATTCAGTAAATAATTGACCTGAGTCCTCTGTGTACCTCTGTCTTGACTGTTTAAGTTATGTTGTTGTTTCTAATGCTGTTCCTCTGACTGTTTATGTCAATCTACTTGGTTCAGTGAAGAATAGATTTATAATGGTGGTGAAGGGAGTGACTGGAGTGACAACAGTGTAGTTTCATTTGCTCTCACCATTAATGTAGATTTGAACAAGTGTTGTATCTGCAAATAAAAACATTGCTTGAAGAGCTTTATAATGAAGGCTCCATTTTTTTGTGCTGGGTATTCACACTATGCCAAAGTCTGCATTTTTAGCAAAAATCATCCATGAAACAGCATGACTTTTGAAGTAAAAATAAAGGGATTATCCCTAGTTATCCCTAATACCTAATGATGTTGGATTTTGTTACCAACTTCAAAGTGACAAACTTCAAACAGAAAATTCTCTTTTCCAACTTTCCGAAAAAGGTATAATTCATTTAATGCCATTTCAGCTTTTTCTTCTTCTATTTTTTTCTTCTCAGAAGTCTGAATACAAGTGAGGAAAAAGCACGAAGGGGATGAAGGAAGGCAAATAAAAGGAAAAATTAAGATCGGGATTTGCAAAAAAAAAAAACACAGGGTGTGGTCGCAAAAGACAATTAGAAATAAAACTAAGAAATAATTCCAAACATCTGAAAAAAACACAGGGTGTGGTCGCAAAAGACAATTAAAAATAAAACTAAGAAATAATTCCAAACATCTGAAAAAACACAAAGCATGGAGACATCAGGCTTCCCCAATGAATAAAGCAGGTCATTATCCTGAAGAATGATGGCCTGGGGCAGTGATTATGCTGCTATTATATCTTTAACAGCGTGGTTTGTCAAAACGTACGGACCCCCGCCCACCCCAACTCACATTTACACATGCAGAAGGAAACTGGGCACTTCACATCCTCTAAAACAGTGCCCTTGCTCTTCCCACAGTAAACTTTACATGTATTGTAAATGCATAACTGCAGCTGTGTGACATTGTTATGCTGTTAATTGAATTAGCCTTGAGCGTAAATTTCCCCCTAAGTGTGTGTGTGTGTGTGTGTGTAAATGACTAATGCACTGTGGCTGCTGCGCTGGGCAATTTCTTCGACTGTTACGAATGACCGCTTTCTAAGAATCGGATAGAAGAGGATAATGATCTCACCAGATTAGCAGTGTTAATATGGGTGTAACATCTCACCCTAACCTTGTTGTGTTTTATTACACCACAAATATGTGTATGTGTGTGTGTGTGTGTCCTCAGCCAAGGGCATCTTGATTGTGTGACTGATAGGACTGTGGTGTGGGTATACATCTGAAGAGTATGTCCTTGTTATTCAGAGGAGGAATCTATCCAGGTACATGGCAGATTTTTTTCCCCCTCCCATGGGACTTCCGGAGCAGAGAACATAACAATACTCCTGTTCCAAATGTTTTCTCTTTTTTTAACACCCATCCCCCAAACACACACTCACACACACCTTGGGGGTTGAACAGGGATTGCTTGATTGTGCCGCTGCAGGGTCAAGTGTGTCGAGCCCCCGATGCTGGATCAGGTGCTTCCATCTCTAACACTCAGGGCTGTATATTCACTATTAACACTATTTGTCGGCACACACATGGATCACCATCTACTTTGCTTTAAGCCAGTGAATATGTGAGTTTTTCTGGGTTGCTGTTAGCTCTGAAAAAAAAACATCCTTCACTCAAAAAGGTAGGGGTCTATGTAGAGAGGTATGTACTCTTTTGATCCTTTAGCTTGTTGTCAATGTGCTGGTGATTTATTTACATTTTAAATCAATATATTTTATACCGAACTAATGCAAGTGCATAACCTTAACTGCATCTCTTGTTTTCACTTTCTCAGTCATGCACCCACACAAACCCTCAGATCAAACCCTCACACAAAAATCAGAGTGTACCATTCAATCAGTAGTTTTTCTCCCTCCTCTCCATGGTTCTCCTAAAGGTTTTAACTGCAGTTAGAATGAAAAGTGCCAGCATTAGAAACCGTGGCCCATTGAGAAGGTGACAGGGTCTGCCACAATATGAACCTAATCCTGTTTCCAGCATTCTTTTAGCGCAGTGGCACTGCCATTTCGCAGCATATTCTCTGAGCTGTCAGGCCCGGGGAAATCCCTCTAATAGTGCATTGCACAGATACACATCAAAGCCCTCCTAGAAACCACCAGCGGGAACTTAACGGAGAGGGAGGTACAATCAGGGCTTACAGCTGAACATTCCCATTCAAAAAAGCGAAAATACACAGAAACGGTATAACTTCATGCTAAAATGTGGCAGAAATCCTTTCACTATACTTTTTTGAAAAATACACAGAAGGAAGTTGGTTGCACAGTAAGGAAAAAACAAAGAGGTGATGTCAAGAGGAAGACAACAGGTGGCTAAACTGTGTATCCATGGCCACCCTCCTTTAGTTCCACTTCATCCTCAATTCTCCTCTTGTCTTTTTTTCTCTTAAATACTCTGACTGCCATCTCGCCCCGCCCTGGGTAATCTTCTTAGGGAGAAGAAAACCCCCATTCTCTCTTTTCTTAATCTGGCTGCAGCCTAAACCTAAGGTTGCATTTCCAAACTGAACTCAGAATCTAAATCGGTCAGCAAAAGCTGAGATCACACTTTTAAAACAAGTTCTGAGGTCCTTTTTAAGTTATTTGAATGGCAGAATGAAGGATACACTTCAAACTACGGTCAGCTAAAACGTTTTGAGAATATTTAAAGTTACATCACAGTATTCTACGAATAATCATAACAGGGATTCATAGATTAGTCATGTATTTAGGAGTCGGTGATGAAAATGATGTTATTGAGAAAAAGATTATTTTCTCCTGAAATATTATTTTTAGTGTGCAGTTATTCAAACAAAGTGTGGAAAATCATCATGTTAACATGGATAGAGGAGAGTTACTAAGTATGCTTAATCATTGTACATTAATGCATCTTTGTGTTGATTTATTTGCAGTTCTGTGTTATGTTTCTTTATTCCTCTCTCTTACTGAAGATATGATGCCTTGTCTTAACTTTTTATCACAACCCAGTTCCAAAAGTCTGAAACTCTGAAAGTTAACCCTTCAAAGCCTGATCCAATAAAATAAAAAAACAACAGAAAATGACTTTTTCTTGGTTTGAAGTCTTTATTTGGCCTTTTAACAAAATATATTTAAAAAACTGAAATACATTTTTAATATTAATAATTTATTACTATGTGATAAGTCAAGATTGTTTTCGTGTAGTCTTCTGCCCCCTGTTATCAGGTATATCTGATTGTGTACAACAGGATTTTGAGCAAAGTTTTTACCATTAAATTATGCAAAAGGTGTCAGACGCAAAACATTTCAGAAACCGTATGTATCAAATATGATACATTTGGCATTACAGGGTTAAGGGGACAAATGACATAATCTGTATTTACACAGTTTTGTGCAGCAAAATATGTTCCCATCCAGGTGACATTTCTTGTCATCGAAGTCCTGAGCAGGACTAGTCTGTCAGCAGGATAGAACTTCCACCAGTTGCAGACGGAACACCATAAATCCTAAAACATAATTTAGATGATGAAGACTGATGAATCCTAAATGAGTAAAAAATGACACAATGTTTCAATCAGACTCCTCGCCTCTAAGACAGAATAGCACTGGAGCCTATCCCACCTGACAGTAGGCGAGAGGCAGGGTATACCCTGGACAAATCGCCAGTCCATTGCAGGGCCACATAGAGAAAAACAACCACACACAATCACACTTTCAATTAACCTAACATGCGTATTTTGTTCAGGTTTTTTTTGGATGGTGGGAGGAAACTGGAGTACCTAGAGGAAATACACGCAGACACAGGGAGAAAATACAAACTCCTTGACGTTTTGTTGCAATAAAAAAGCCTACCCATATTACTGAAATACAATTAAAGTTGCAGTTTCAAGTCACAGCCGTTCAGAGCTGTAAAAAGATTTTTGGGATAAAATGGATATTAAAATGTATGCGGGAATATCATTGAAGTGCATTCAGTTTGGCAAATAAGGCTAATTTTAAATAATTGTATAGTTGAAAACCTGACTGTGCCTCAGTTAAACTGTGAATTATGCTATAAATAAGCTACGTTTAAATATTTTAATTCGATATGCGCTTTTATCCAAAGTGACTTAATAAGGATACAAGAAAATTAAGGAGCTGGTACATTTAGATATAATTTACAATAAACAATCAAAACATCAAGCTTGTGGGAGATGGCAGACCATCAGCTGATTAAGTAAAAAAGGGGAGGTCTGAGAAGAGAAGTAAGAAAGAGATACATATTTTTAGTGGTTGGATCAAAAGGGTACTGTTGGAAAAGAAAAGTATTTCAGAGTTTCCTACTGGTAGAGTGGTAGAAACCCCTCTCTACCACTCTACCAGTAAGAAACTCTGAAATACTTTTCTTCTCTGGTAGCACCAACATCAATGTTTGATGAGATTTGTCTAACTAGAGTGCACTACCATACAGCGTCAGAAATGTCTTTAACATGGCAACAGAACAAAATTCCTAAAGTTTAAAAATGAGAACCAAAAATCGTTGTCACAAATTCATCTTCAGAATATCTGACATCACAATTTTTTCAAATGCGAATGAGCCTATGAGAAAAGTCGATCATTGACCCTTATTGATTCCAATTATTCTCATTGTTTCCATTCTATGTGAGGATACATTTAGTTTCCAAAGAAACTCAAAAAAGATTATTTCACTTCAACTGGAAACCTGAAAAAAAAATTAAAGAGTGAAGTTAAGAAATCTCCGGTTAGTCTTTTTCTTGTCACCAGCTTCCTCCAGCAGCTTGGATATGATATATGTGTAAATCTAATTTTCTATGATAAATTTGATAAATTCCTCCATACAATACCAAAAATAGAAAAAGAAAACTTGCCATCCACTATGATACAAAGTGCTATAGACAAAACAAAATTCAGAGGAACTGCACAGTGTTGATAAAAGACCACTGGATGCTTGTGAATGGAAATTAGTGTCATAAATGTACATTAAAATATGAATAGCCACTGTCTAAGGGAAAAGGAAATACAGAATTTTCTGGCACTTTAGTAGATGTATATATATATCAGACTGTCACACTGCCAGTTGGGATATATGTTCGATCTCCACCTTCAGTTTAAAAGCACAATATCGCTGCTTGAAGAACACAAGCTAAAACTTGAATATCTCAAGACTAAACATTGATACCTTCCTAATCATTTTAAACACCTTAAGGCACAAACAGCGAGTCTTTCAACTATTTAACAACCCACCTTGGGAACTCGGTTTTACTGGGGAATGTGTGCATCTTGGAGAAAACACAAGACTATTAAAAGTATTTTGAATGTTTATTCGAAAAATGCCACATTTAAATTGTATTTGAAAACACAAAAGAAGCCATGTTGTATAGTTTACTCCATAATATTCATCTTTCTAATACAAAGCATGTCACCCTAACACAGGCTTACAAGCAAGGACACAAATGCACAGCGCTTCATTGGCTAATTCAATAATAAAGCAGGCAGCCAGTCGAGTCTATAGATAGGCAAAATGGAGAGTAACTCATCTCTAACTGTCTGCCGTCTCCTGAGTGTTAAAACATGTAAATTTATGTAAGAGCCCATAGGAAACACATATTTACAATACGTTTAGGTAATCACAAGATATGTGAAGAGGCATTCAAAGCCCTGGGGACAAACGCAGTCAATACAAAAATAGTTTTTATGTGTCATTAATTCCCTCTGCATTCCCCGATACATCCCCCTTTTGCCACAGTAATACAGTAATCACTCACAATCGCACAGAAAATTATCTGCACTCATCTGTGGAATAAAAAAGCGGAGGGGCAAAACAGGGCGAGTTGTCCCATTTTAGCTCTCTGCTGCCTCTTTAATGTTCATCTGGGAGCCGCATGGCTGCCGACCATCCCTGCACAGGGATGGAGCTCTGCTCTAGCACTTGGAGCAGCTTAATGACAGTGGGAAGTGGATTCGTTTTACACACACACACACACACACACACACACACACACACACAAATATATAAAACACACACGCACCTTTTTTCATGCAACATTGCCTGGCCAGGACAACATAAAGGGTCATCGACGGTGCGATGCCAAAAGAGGCACCTCTGTGCTCACATTAGGCCGTGATAGGAGGAAACATTTCACTTCTGAGTGATGTCAATGTAAAACTGAGTCAATCCAGCTATAGTAATGAAAGGTGCACAAATTCAGATGTGAGAAGCCAAATGGTCAAATAAGTCATTACCTGCCTTTTCATTATCTCCTCCTTTCAGATAGAAGCATATCGTGTTATTAGGCAAGCCATCAGACCTGATGAATAACCAAAAAGCCAAACCCTTTTTCATTGCAGAGTTAAAGAGAGTGTGTAATTCTGATGGAAATTTTGTGTCTCAGTAACGTGAACCTGAAATATCATCTCTCTATCATCTGCATAAGGACATACATTCTGGAGTTCCTAAAACCTTTACACACATATGCTTAGTGTCCTCTAGTGGACACTCAATATAAAGCGCTCCTTTCCTCCTTATGTACTGTGGACACCTATGGGACAAAAATAAAACTGCACATGTTAAATGCAGGTTTACAAGTTCTTGGTTAAAGTTCTGGGACCTTTCTGCGTGGCGTTTGCATGGTTTCCCCCAATATCCATGAGTTCAGGTACTCCGTCTTCTTTCCACCATCCAAAAACATGCATGTTAGGTTAACTGAACACTCCACACTGCGATTGACTGGCGACATGTCCAGGGCGTACCCTGCCTTTCGCTGGTGTCAGCCTTTAGAAGCTCCATCCCTCTTGGGAATAGAAAATAGATGGATGGAAGTGTTTGTTTATCAACAAGACACAACAGTCCAGCTCTTATAGATGAATCCAAAGTTCAGAAAAAGTCTGGTTCCATGAGTTCGAAGTCCAGAGGCACTGAAACCACTGAGTTCAAAAAGTTAATGTTTATTGGCAACAAGCCTTCAGCGAAACGCGTCCACCAAAGCTTGTTAATTAAGCCTCCTTAGCTTACACAGATAAATGGGTCCAAAATTTGCAGTTAAGTGCGGTATGACCATTTCACCCAGGTGGAGGTCAGGAGCGAAGTGAAATGTATTCCTAAACATCTTGGTGAGGTGTTGCAGACTGACCACCTGAGCACAGACAAGATCAGGACAAGGAAGTGAAACAAAAATGAACAAATTCCTTTTGATATTTTAGTGTCTGTGTTTATTGACAGCTGACTCATAGTTTTTTTTAACCAAATCAGCATTAAATGATCATTAATGATCCTTATTTTTAAGTTGTTCTTGATACTGACCTGAAGGCGGATGTCGTGGTTCTTTTCAGCAAGATAGATACCTTGTTCCACCACATTCAGGTTCTGATTTAGAGACAGCGTGCAGGTGGAGTAAAGGATCTCCCCTCCAGGACAAGCCGCCTGAACTCCAGCCCTACAGCAGAGAGAAGCTTTGATTTATTCGTTTTCATTTTTATTTGTTCATTTAACAGGGACAAATGCAGTGGACATCAATAAATGTGAAAAATTCAAATGAGATTCCATTCATACATGTTACTAACCATCGTTAATTCCCTGGCACAATTTGAACCTCTATAGAAAGATTTTAATCAAATTCGTACATAATCAAAATTACAATAAAATGGCAACTTAAATTACTCAAACACAGTATGAATACCAACAGTAATGGATTAAAAAGTTATCTATAAATCAAAAGAAAAGCTTATGTTCACATACATGTTTTATATGCTTGAATTCTGTTTTCTGAAGTTTTGGTACCCTGCAGTTTCTACCTGATATAGCTTTTGCTCTGTTATCGATGTTGGGTCTGTTTACAGATTACCAAACATTATAAAATTAAACATTACATAATTTAAATGCGCTACATGCACTTGAAGAAAAGTTCCATAAAAAGGAAATTTGCAAGTTAAACAGATTAATATATGATACTTTTTTAAAAATTGGGCAATGGTGCCACCTTTTTGGTTTGATCAAGTATTTTTAATGAGCGTCTTTCTAAGGAACTGATCGATTGAATAGTAGCTTAAAACAGTTTAGCGCAAAATGCCAAATGAGACTAAATCACTGTACGAACAAACTATTGTGCTTGCTTTCATGGGTGTGCAATATCCAATAAATGAAAATAACCAACAATTGCCTTGCAGAATCTCTTCACAAGTGAGTCCATTTTTAGATCTAAAATAACACCTAAAGATGGAATCTCATGTACTTCATTTAATTCTTTTTCATCCCTGTTTATGCTAAAATTCCCCATCCACTTAAAAAAAATCCATTGCTTTGGAAAACTAGAAATCAAACAAGCAAACAAATTAAAAACCATTGAACTAAGACATAACTAATTAACCCTTTTTAATTGTTAAAAAGTGTTTAAAAGGTACATGTAACTTTTTCAAATCAGCTATCATTTGCATTGCAGGTTTTTACATTCTATATATTATCTCAACTATCTTGACTATCCATCCATGTATTGCAGGTTTTTACATTCTAGATATTATCTCAACTATCTTGACTGGGGAACTGGAGCCCATCCCAGTGGTCAACAGGCGAGAGACAGGTACAACCTGGACAGTCCGCCAGTCCATCGCAGGGCCACACATAGGACATACAAGGACAAACAACCACTCACACTCACATTCACTCCTAAGGGCAATTTGGAATGTCCAATCAACCTAACATGCAGGTTTTTGGACTGTGGGAGGAAGCCGAAGAACCCATAGACAATCCACGCATACACAGGGAGAACATGCAAACTCCACCCAGAAGGGTCCTGGTTCCCCCGGGACTTGAACCCAGAACCTTCTTGCTGGGAAGCGACAGTGCTAACCACCACACCTGACTATTCAGACTCATTTTAATAATCCAATGTTTTGATCTTGTCAAAACGTTCTTATCCAACTAAGGTAGCTAAGATACATAATCATTTTAAGATGTGAGGATAAGTCAATATAGAAAACTGCAAGAAGCCTGAATATATTTTCAAATGGATTTACAGTGCAACTGTATCTTGTGAAGTCTTTAAAAGTAAATAAAAAATCATCAATAAAACAGCAAAGTGTGCATGTATGTTTCATAGGTTTGAAGAGGCAAATACAATAAATGTTCAGAGGATTGTGATATGTCTGCTGTCATGGTTGTTTTTTTTAGTGAAAAAACCCGCAGCAAACAAGATGGGTGAAAAAATCTGTTTCAGGTAATTAATGTCCAAAGCATGCAACATATTTAAAAAAAACTTTTTTTCTTCACCTGTTTGGAATGGGTAGTAATTTACAATTTTTCAAACAGTCATTGAAATATAAGAAATGGTTTATCTGACTATTGTGTTGATTTAAAACTGCTTTACTTCAACCTGCAGCAGCCAGTAAAATGTATCATTAGCTCCAAATGGAAACAAGGCTCTCAGATGTATGTCAGTAGTCATGAAAGTCAGTGTTTCACCCATCTAACACTGTATGAGTAGATGCTAATTTAGCTCCAACATGAAATGCATTCACAGCAAAAGACTATAGCTTTCAAACACATCTACAGTTTATGGATTACATTTTTACAGTTATGCATGCATGTTCTCCCTGTGTCTGTGTGGATTCTTTTTGGGGAATGTGGCTTTCTCCCAGCATCCAAATACATGCATATTAGGTTGGACACTCCAAAATTCCCCTAGGAGTGAGTTTGAGGGTGTGGCTGTTTGTCTTTGTGTATACCCTGCCTCTCACCCTTTGTCACTTGGGTAACCCCTACCCCCCACCCCCTTCTGCTACCCCGTTGGGATTAGGCGGTATAGAAGATGGATTTGAGAAGGAAGTACCCAGCTGAAACTTTTTTTTTTTACATAAGTATGAAAAAGATTGTGACATTTGTGTCACATTTTGCTCAGAATTAACTTTTCATACGTAATTGCAAAGTAAAAAAACCCTTTCAATAATATTCTTACATATAATATCTAAAATGCCAAAATTTGTGTTACTTCAAAGAATATTGTCAAAATACTGAAAAACATATGCATGAATGGGTGTGTCCAATCTTTTGACTGGTTCTGTGCTTCCGTCAAACTTACAGCAACAGTTCCAACTGAAGCTGAGGCAGCACTCGCCTCTCACCGGTCCTGCTCTTACTGAATATGTTGTTGTCATCCTCCATGAGTGAATGTCTGTCCGTGGTGCAGGGAACATCAACCAGAACCTGTTGACGAATCAGCAGAGCTTCAATTAGTTATATGTATCTGTCTACTATGCCACCATCACTGTGTTTTTTTTTAAAAGGTCCAAAGGATTACTTACTCTGTCAAAAGTGTTACTTTCAATTTCCCCCCATTTGGTGCCATCAAAAGAGGTGATGCGCAGTCTGTCATCTGCCAAAAACTGCTTAGGAACGTAACTCTGAAGGACCTTCTTTAGTCGCAAAGTTCGAGACACTGATGAGTCATTTATGCACAAATACCCTGTGACATAAACAGAGCACAGTGATTTATTCACGGAAGAGCCAGTGACAGAAATTAGGTAAGAAAGATTTTTTCAAGAACTGTCTACTCACCGATCATATGAGTCTGAAGTAAAGCCAGGGTTTTGCCCCCTGGAGCAGCGCAGAGATCCAAGACAGTATGACCTTCCTGAACATCCAATGCAAGACAAGGCAGCACAGATGCTGCATCCATCAGGTAGTAACACAAAAGTCCAAACTGATCTGGCCTTGAATCGCATAGAGAAACACAAGGATTAGACTGGATTCTGGTAAGAAATCGCTTAATTTATAAGAGGGCTTTTCAAGCTTTTGCTCACTTTGCAGGCTTGAATCGTGTGGTATCTCCTTTTGGAAACACAAAACACCTTATATTTTGGCTTAGGTGTAGGGGAAATGGTTGCTGACTATTAGCATCAATGTGCTCAAAGGATGACCCAGCTGCACGAAGAATGATAAATGTGAAAAATAATCAAACATTGCCAGCAGAAAGACAGAATTCTCATTTTGAATAAAGAACCTTGGACTGGTTGGTTTGCTATGGAAATGCAGACCTACCCTCTCCATCTCTAAAACTGATAAAGTCTCTACATCCTTGGGCCTCGAGGTCTGCAAAGCCAGCATCTTGAGAGAAATTATTGATAAGTGCACCATACTTCCTCTCTGATAGCAATGCAATTCGGACTGACGGCCACAGCTGTCCCAGCTGTGCAGTGTAGGTGGCATCAAAATGTTGCAGGGCCACACGGGTGGGAGGGTGTTTGGGACGTGTTGCAGCCTATCCAAAAACGAGGAGGGTGAAAGAAATTCATCTTAATCATACGATACTATCACATACTACCGCCTCACATACCATCACATATACAGTATACTCATCCTAGTTTTAAGGTGAGGTTTATACACAGAAATAAATCCGTCTTTTACTTTATTTGTTAATCAAACGTCTTTGTAAATAATTAGATTTGAAACCTACCCATTTTTCTTTCACCCGGTTTCTTATTTGCGTTAGACACCTTAAATCTTTCACCTTTCTTAACAGGAGTCTGTTGATATCTATGTACAGTGCCATCATGTTGTGCAGCTTTTTTCTTGGTCCGACTTGTCAGTTTTGCTCAGAACAAAAGTTCCGTACTTGAAAACGTTCGATGGGCGGAGCTTACAGAAATGTATGCATATGATTGGACTATATGGACTTCGGTAGTGTATAATAACCAATAGAAAACGTAACCGAGAAATCCTTCTAGTCGTTTCCGGCGTGTGAACGACCTCGCGTCCTCAAAACTGGACACTCGCCGAATTGGCATTTCACGGCTTTTCAACGAAATATCTCCCTCGTAAACATGGTTTTTGAAAGGAAGATGCTCACTTATGGGGATCCCGATGATGAGGTACTGAAAATATTTTGTTAAGAGTTGTTTTAAATCTATGTGTTGATGTTGGGTTGTGTTACCCAACACTCCTTGTGTTGAGCTGTATACCTTACGAGTTATGACAAGCTTTACGATGACGTTGAAATATGAATTTACTGTTAGACGTGACAACGAATGTTTAGGACACGGTTTGGCTTGTCAGTAACAGAACAATGTCAATTCCCCCATACATAGATATCTTGTGAAGACGTTAAGACAGATTCAAATTCTCTCAAACAACTTATCTTTCCTATGCCCTCCAACACATTTTTTGTTATTGTTTTGAACGGTTTATATTGTTTATTCATTCACAGTTCTTAACCCATAAGAGCCAAGGCCCATTATCCCTAACGAGGATGTATAGGGAATAGAAAGCTGGCCAAATTAACCCCATTTATCACAGTAAAGAATACAAAAGAAAAAAAGAATAAGGTACACAACAAAATATGAAAGATCTGTGATTTCCTGAAATTTTATTGACCATTTTCAATAGATGCATTTTAGTTTAAATTGGTTGTTACTCCTGTATCACTGTGGGTTATTATTATGTAACCCCTAATAAGCCTGTGTGCCCCTGTGTAGGAGGAAGATGCACCTGCTGAGGAGGAAGAGGAGGAAGAAGAGGAAGAAGAGGAGGAAGACCTTATTGTAAGTTACATTATAAACTGATGATATATATTTCCATCATACTTTTTGGTTTACTCATAATTTTGCTGCTCTTAAAAGTTACATTTACTCTTATTTGATTCAACTATGATATTGAAGTGAACAAAATGGTCTCTCTCCATAGTTTGAGTTTAATACAGGAAGATTTAGCAAATTATGTGATGTTCATTTGATGTGAATAAAGGACCCCCTGGAAGCGATACGAACCAAGTGTGAGCAGACTGAGCACTGTGTGCACACCAAGGAGCGTTTGGAGCTCTGTGAAGCCAGGGTCAGCTCTAGATCCAGCACTGAAGAGGACTGCACAGAAGAACTCTTTGACTTTCTGCATGCTCGGGACCATTGTGTAAGTGTATTCCACAAAAAAAAAGATGGTTGACATTCACCTCTTTCCATTAATTTGATTTCAACTTTATTTGCCTTTGAGTGAAGCTGTTAATTATTTTTTTTCTTTTTCCTCTCTTTAGGTTGCACACAAGCTGTTCCACAATGTGAAATGACCTGGCTGCCTTGTTCCAACATATTGAAGCTGTAGAATCTATTTAATGTTATGTTATGTACAGTAATCAGCAGCTATGAAGTCTTCTTACTAATTTAATCAGGTTTTGCGCCCCTCTGTATACAGTGCAGACTTGTTAGCAATGTCAGAAACAGCATCAACATTTTGAATCACTGCAACTTTGCTTAACAGATACGGACTTATACTTCTATGGTCAGAACATATGCAAATGAAAGTATGCTGCTCCATTAATGGAGTTTACCTCAGGCGTGATCACGTATTACTTTATCCTGTCCAGAAAATTAAGGTTTAATTTGGGTTAGTTTGAGGTGTATTTGTTAAAGTATAAGCTTACCATATAAATGAAAAGCTGTCTGTTTTTATTTAACAGAAAAAAGCGTAAATGGTTGGATTACTCAAGTCATTTTTATTATCGCAGTATTTGAAATTACTGGCAAAATCAAAAACAAGAAAACCCAGATATCGCTCTCACTTACCAGATCCTCCTGGGGAATCCCAATGTTTTTCGGTCAACAGAAATGACTGACATATTCAAATCCATTCATCCATTTTCATCTGCTTATCCAAGCTTGGGTGCTCAGGGAAACGGTTTCAACAGACAAAACCAAGATATCCCTCTCCCAACACTTACCACAGTCACCAGACAGGATAAATATATATAATCACTCCGTCTAGTTCTGGGAAGTACCCAAGGGTCTTTTCCCAAAAGGATGAGCCCTGAAAACCTCCATAGTTTGTGATCTGGAGGCATCCGTACCAGATTTCTGGACCACCTCAACTGACTGCTTACAATGTGAAGCAACAGTGGCTTTACTCAAGCTCCCGCTGAATGACAGAGATCTTATCTAAGGCTGAGCCAATGCACCCTCCAAAGGAAACCCATTTCAGCTGCGTATATCTGCTTGTTCTCAAATAGTATCGTAATTAGTCAGTTTTTCTTGTATTAAACCAGTAGTCATTGTATGACTTGATTTGGAATGTGCATAAGCAAATTAGAACATTTCTGACAGCAAACATAAAATGTATGAAACTCTCATCTTAACTGAAGGGCCCTAAATATAGGTACAGGTAAATGAACAAACATGTATTGAATCAGAAGTTTTAGTCAACACAAAGCTTCGGGTTGTGCTAATACAAGGAGAAACTCTTGTCCATATTTGAATTAGACTTGAAGCAACACACAAACAATACTAAAAATGAGAATAAGAGTTAGATACAAATCTGTAAAGCTAAAATTTCATACACTAAATGCCCCTATAGTCATATTTTAGACTTCAAGGCAACATTACTCCAAAAATAATGTGACAAAATTACAGATCAAATATTTTCTAAGACAAATCTAGCTGTTTAAACTATTTAAATCAAGAAGACCTCAATTTCTGGGTTTGATTTACTTAAAAAAAAAAAATCCAGTAAAGAGACGAAAAAAAACAAAACAATTGTACCATAACATTCACAATGTATACCAAAAAAAGACAAAAACTAAGCTTGTAGTGATGATTTCAAGTCTGAATTGTTCATCCTGGGAATTCTCTGTATGCCATCCAAACTCTGCACTTTGCCACTTTGTATTCCTCAACCACAGATGACAGAGGAAGTTAGAGGTGCCCCGATCTTATGTAGAGGCCTCCTGAAATGTAGTTTGGGGGGATTCCCAACCACTTCCGGAGATACTTATTGATCTTTCTTTCCACTCTTTTCACGCTCAAAATTCGGACTTCATTCAGTCAGCAGCCACGTGAGTCTTTGCAACAGTCTTTGTTGATAAAGCCATGCCTTAAACTTCCCTTGGAGCCCTGATTTTTCGACCCTCCTCAACCCTTCTTCCATCTGATTCTCGGTGCTTGAGATGTTGTTTATGTCCATCAGTGAACCACTTTCTGAGGCACTTGATTGTATTCACCTTTATCGATGGAATCCCTTCCTCTTGCGCATGCAGCTTGAACCTGTTGGTCCTTCCCTAACTGATCACCATACTCCTGGATTATCTTTGGATTAAACCATGTTGCCATGTGGTTCACCTTGCCTCCACATGGGTCGTGGTCATCATGTTGAGGTCGCCCACGTAACCTCTTATTGGAGTTGAATATCAGCACTGACAAAATAGAAAAAAAACTGAAGACCTTAGCTCTTTTCACATGCTTGTTTGACACCATCAAAGTACAGTGTGAGGAATTAGACAAGTCATCACTTTAGTTGTTATAGTTGCAAATTGCTGTTTAAATGTGTAAAAAAATGTATGATAATATTATATGTTTGCTTGTAAAATGTTGCTTGACAGTTTTTTCAAACTATCACATTAATTGCTTAATTGCTTTCTTTAAGTATTAAAATGATAGTTATCCAGACCTTGTGTTTGCAATGTAATATTCTTGCAAACAGAGATAGAATTCAAATTTAACTTATATTAACTTCACCTGCACATTGGTGTTTTTAATTGTGTATTCTTTTAATCAAATCTTGGACAAAGGCATATTGTTTGCCTTTGTAGATATTTTGTCAAACATTTTCTTTATACGGTTCAGATGTGGTCATGTGGCGAAACTCTTGCCTTAAAACAAGAGTCAATCAATCTTCCATATATTAATGATATGCATGGTGTTCTAAATGAATTAAATCCGTAAAAACATATGACTTTTTGTGTCTGTTTTAGTCTTGTGGAAGACTGGTGACCCAACTGAGGTATACCATATACATATTGCTCAATAACACCTGGAATAAAACAGGATTACGGTGGCCCAGAGGTCCATCGTACAGGATAGAAATGGTAGAGAAAATGGATTGATTCAGTCATTAAATGATCCTGTTCCCATTCCTCCACACCTCTCCCCTACGATCAAATGCTGCTCACACAGTGGTTGTGAGCAAGCAACTCGGTTAGTAAGAAAGCAAAATTTCCTTTTGTGGCCAGTTAATCTGTCTGTAATCAGGAAATGAAAGCTGGTATGGCAGTAGAGGTGAAGCTGCTGGTGAAACAGCTCAACAATTGGTGATGGCAATTGGGGCTGGAGTGGTTGGTGTTTGACCATGGCTCCATTTCAATTTCCTTTTCAGCAGAATTGTTGCTGTTGATGTCATCCAACTCCATTCACACTGCCAGCTGTTTGATTTCAAACTGTTGACACAAACTTTATGGTACAAAATCACAGGATTCAATTTGATTTCCTGGTCAAGATAGATGTCTCTGGGACAAATGATTGCTTTAAACGGTGCTCAAATAAAAATGAAATACTGTTGTGTATTGTTATCGGGGGATTAAAAATTGGTTGCTTGGACTGTATTATGTTGAATTTATTAGGCATCCTCTACTGACGAGTGGCAGAGCAGTACAGATGCTGATCTTGAGGCTCTGGTCAGATTCTTCCTGTACCAATCCTGCCTTAGACCACCCTCCTAGACTTTTCTGGCCACTGGATGAAAGAAATTCTGGCAGCTTTTTTTCTCAGTCCACCTTTTCACATACAGCAGATAAGTACTAAATGTGGTATACATTTTTCCAAGTAAATATACATCTAAAGGTGCTATGGACATGAAATTCTCACCAGATATAAGTAACAACCCATCCACTGAGGGGCTGGTCACAAGAGCTGTGAAAAGCAATAGCTGGAGGACAGTTTTATGTCTCAACACAAGCTTAAGAATGATTAGATTACTTAAGAATGTCTTTTAAAAAAAAAAAAAGACTTCTCTCCCAAGGGCAATTGAAAATGTTCAATTAACCAAACGTGTATTTTTGAACAGTGGAAGGAAGCCAGAGTCACACTCTCTCTCTCTCTCTCTCTCTCTCACACACACACACACACACACACACACACACACACACACACACACACA